CCAGTAGAAAAATTTAATTATTTGTTACTCCAGTATATTTTTATACGGTTAGTTAACGGTTATTTTTACAAGATTAAGGCATGAAGTACCAAAAATACTTTAATAATGTTATTAAATATTAAACATTCGTCAACCCTAACTAAGCATATTACAAAGTAATAATGATAAGTAGTTTTATGTGGTTAACATTTGATACAGTGCAAGGGGGTTGGCTGTACAGAATTTCAAATCTTTCAATGGAAAATAAATGCCATTTGTCTTTTTCTAACTAATTTTAATTTTGTATGTGAAAAAAAGAATAAAATATTTTTGACTGTTAAGTTGGAATCATCTTACTTGTGTTGATTATCCTTATGAATTTTACAATTATCCAAGTTGACTGTTTATGTCTTGTTGTTTACAAAAAATGTATTACTATTTATAGTGTACATTTTTCAATTATTATTCTTAATTATTAACGACAATTTCTTAAAGCAGTTGCAGTGCCATCCTTCAACAGATGTCACATTTGAACCACCGTTCTGACATTAACATGTCCACTTGGTTATTTAATATAAATGATCATTTTAAAAATAATTACAATCACCAGTTTACATTGTGTTTATTACCAGCTTCAGATGCTAAGAATTGCACCAAATCAAAGAAAACAAGCAAGTGGCTTTATACAATAAAGAATGGTCCAATGGTCACTATTGCAATAACCAATCTTCTATCCAAACAATGAGACAGACATGCTTTATGTTTTGAATACCTACATTCAAATTCTGAAGATCAGACTTAGGTGAAATTCATCATTTAACAACTAGAGGACACTAAATGTTTTATACCATTTGTTGATATTTTGTGATCTAAAATGCACCCCCCCTCCAGCAAAAGTATCCATATATCACATTTACATTATTAATATTAGCTATATCATTAGAATAACGATCTCTGATTGGTTGCGATAATGAAGACCTATCCTGTATCTGTATAATAATTTTTACAAATTTTAGGCTTATTTTTATCTACCCTTTCCCCACAGATTGATCTTTCACTTTCAAATTTTAGGAAGTAAATAAAAGTGCTTCACAAAAAACTAATTTTGTTCTATTGTAACCTTTTTTAATTAGCCTTATGCCTAAAATTTGAAAAATTAATTAGATAGGAACCAAACTAGGACTATTATCTAAACTAATGAGACACACATAGTGTGAAGGTATAGATGTGTGCAAAAAATTTAAATCAGTTAACAGTGTGCTTGAATTTTAAGTTAGAGCAGAAACACAATATTATCTCTGTTTAAAAAAAAGTTATTTTGCAATATACACGAACTTTCACAACAAACACCACAGTATTTTAACATTTAAATTGAGTTATCTTAAAAACTCTAGGTTTATTTTTCTTGAAACTCCTGTGATTTAGTAGACAATTTATTTCAAATGTGGCACAAAAGGAAATTTTACGAGTTCATCTCCAGAACAATGAATGTCCTTTCATATTCCAAAACAAAGTTTAAGCAACAATATAAAAAACAACATTGTTTCATGTTAAGGTCAAAATTAATATTAAACAGTTATTTGTTGTTGGTTAGCTCTGAAATAAATGCATATTATATAGCTTTTCAAATAAAAGTACAATAACTGAGTTTATTTCAAAGACACCTATTTACATGCTTGTAGCACTCTGTTCCCTAATATAACTTTTTGGAATACCACAACCTCACTGTGCTTCAATGCACAGCTACTTTATGTGCTGTGCTTTGTTTAAGATTACAGCTAGCATGTTTACCTGTCCAAAATGTAAGGTGGTGCATGTAGGTTTTCACAATTCAAATGGGAATACATTAAATACTGTGGTTGAAGAAAAAGATCTTGGTGTTGTGATAGAAAAATTACTAAAGTCACCTAAACAATGTACTGTAGCTAATAATAGGGCTAATAGGATTTTTGGTAGCATCTATAGAAATACTGAATATAAGACAAGGGATATTATTGTTTCACTGTATAAATCACTTGTAAGGCCTCATTTTGGACTCCCTTTCACAAGAAGGATATTGAATGTTGGAGAAGGTTCAGAAAAGAGCCACAAGGATGATACCTGGAATGGTGGGATTGTCCTATGAGGAGAGATTAAAATCTCTAAACTTATTTTCTCTGGAGAGAAGAAGGGTCAGATGGGATTTGATTGAGTTGTTTAAGGTTATTAAAGGTATTGATAATATAAATCCAAACATTTCTGTGTTCAAGGGTGGTGAAGGCAGAAAATATAATTGAGTTCAAGAAAAGATTGGATAAATACATGAGTGGTATATAGTGGTTATAGTTGGGAACTGGAAGGAATATCCTTAACGGGCTAATGAGCTCCTTTTTGGTCCTTTAAACTTTCATGAATTAATGGCAGATAATAATTTTCAACTTGGGTTACCCTATCTTCAACTTAGGTATTTTATCATAGACAGATGTACATAGTATCATAGTGACTTAAAACCCAGCATAAAACACAAGTTTACAAATTCCCCCAAACAAAACATACATATCAATCATTTTTTATAACTAGTAACATCATAGTGTAAAAATGATGCTGAGTATCAATTATATTATTAATATATAATGACACTGGGCATGAAAACCAAAAACAACAGGTACATTTCAGTGGTTTTCCAGAGCAAGTGGGATATGAGGAATAGAATGAGATTTAGTATTTTACAACTTTAAAAAAATATTGGTCCATCAGGTGTAACATT